ACTTACTGATAAACTAAAAATATTAAGTAATTGACACAATATTTTACATTTATTTTTGTTATTGTGACTTTAAGTGTAATGTAAAAATAACATACAAATTATTACAAATTATATGAAAAAATAGTTACAATAATTCATAAGAATTGTTGTAGGACATTAACATATAATAGTAATTATTTTAATAAATTATTTGTAATAGACATTTGATTTTAAATTTGATTTATTTTGTATGTCAAAGATGTAGTATGTTTAAGATTATTTTGAAGATGCCTTTAACTTTTCTTAGAATGTTAAACTGACTTTGAGACATGTTGATTATTTAAAATGATTATGTTAAAAATACTAAAAATAATATTCCATTTCTAAAAGACAATACAAAATATTAAGTTGACAAGAAGAAGAATCGATTCGCGCGGAATATATTATTCTTTATTGTTTCTCATTGAACGCCAAAATACTGATCGTTATTTGTATATATCGCAGTTTTATTAAATATTACATACAATTATCTAGCAAATATAATTAATATTGACATTAAAATCATAAATTAATGAGGGATGACAGTTTAATATAATCTAAAATACAGTGGCGCCCGGAAATAATAATAATACATCGGAGATAATTGCGCGCGATTGTAAACATCCACGATTATTACATAGGAGAGATATGTAATAGGCATACACATCATCATCGATCGAGTTATGTAACACTTTGTATGTCATTTTTAATGTCGAATGAGCGAATCCCGTCATTTTGTAGAGCATGATTAATCGCAATAGTCCATCATTAATTATGCTGAATTAGTAATATACGTCGATTTAGAAGCGATAAAATAATTGGCAACAATTACGATGTAGATATAGTTACATTCTACGATTTAAATGTAGTTACATTCTAAATATGTTTTTGAATATTGAAAGTCCTATTGATATTTCACCCTCAACTTGAAACAAAAAAAAAAAAAAAATTATTCCCTGAAAGTATTATTTTTCACGCTAGAAAATCGAAGATCTTGATATTTTGTACTTCGTACTGTGATACAATGCTTAAATAATTGATGATGCAATGATATATGCATACTTTGGTTGAAAACTGACTGTTGGTATTCAATATTTTGTAACACTCTCAATCGCTCGAGCAATAGAGTACAAAATATGTTTGTGGTGTACATATGTATGCGTGAAGTATCAAAAATAGAAATTATTGAAAACTCGAGGGGAAGCTTGAACAAGTTCTCGCCGTAACGGGTATAGTAATACGTTTTTCAACGGCTTCTTCGCACGATGCTCCATCCGTCCGAATCGTCAGTCAGCCGACAGACAAGACTGATTTCTCGAGAGACAGCGATATATCGCCGTCGGTCGTGAAGCGCGAAAAGTATGTATGAGAAAAGTTACAGATACCACCGTAGAGCATAGCTGCATACGGGTTCCTCGATAAATCGCGCCTCGCATTGCACGCCGAAAAGAAAAGCAATTTGCATTTCGTTTTCCGCGTCATTTCGTCTGTAGCTACGAATTTTGGCGGCTATAGTGAGCAGGAGTGCCGATAAAGAATATCGATTTCTTTACGTATAAATAAGAGAAGAACAAAACAGTCGGTGAAATACGCTTGCAAAGGTTTCGTGTGCGAATCATAAACAAAACTTAAAATATACGTCTGTGCATATTTTTTTACAATTTTGTAAAAATTTCAATTAAAATTTAAAATTTGCATATCGAATCTTGTTAAGTATCGTGTATAAAATTTCCGTGGAAAAGACGCATTATGTATCTTAAGCGGAGTAATGTTTAGTACACGAGTTGTCGTCTCGTGTTTTTTTGTCTCTTTTTATTATTCTAAGAAAAGACACGGAATAATATTGAATGATGTTTTCCGAAACGCAGAAATATCCAATCACCCAGTTATAATTATTGTTTTTTATCCTCTCGATGATCGATTGGTATCTAGACGCGAACAAGAACGAAAGGTTTGACGGAATAAGAAGTCGCAAACATGGTTAGGGCATCACCACCAGGAGTCATTACTCACCGTATTCCCGTCGACAAAGTTCGACTGACAAATCACGAGGTCCTGATAAAGAACACCATTTTAGTTCTCTCTGAACTGACCGTTTCGATTCGTCGGCCAAAGAACCACGCGAATGCTGAGAGATTTGCGGGCATTCATGACGAGCACACGGTAAAATGTAGAGACGCAAGGAGCCGCACAAATAGACCACGGTACCCCTTTTTTGCCATAAATCTTCCCCTATTTCAACTGGCGACCGCGCCATGGAACTATCTTTGGTTGTGAGGGATCGAAGGGTAACGGGAGCACGCGTTTATCATGTCCACCTATTGTAGGCGACTCTACCTTCGCTCTCCGAAGAGAAACGAGAGTCGTTCCGTTTAAGAGCACGATCACGGAAACAGGCTTGCTAATAAAACAACGAGGGTGCTATAATGAGGAATCTTACGAGGAAACATCTCGATTCTACTCACAACATCTTTCTTTCTATTTTTCTTATACTTTGTTGAAAATTTTTCTTATTAACTTTCTTTTGAGAAATTTTTTCTTTTTTAAATGTTAAAAATTTATATTTCAAAATATTTCAGTTGCGCGTAAATTTTTATTTTTTAAAAGTTACGACAGATATCATTCAGAAATATGAAAATAATTTAATATATAAATTTTATCTTTCAAGACACTTTTTTACATGTAATATAATTGTAACAGATTTAAAAAATTTTAAATTTATTCAATTAATTTTTTTCCTTTTATACAAATTCTTATTATATATGAGTTCAGATATTTTGGTACGTGTCAAAATTTTAATTGCGAGTGTTGGTCAACCTCGGTATGTGACTCTTCTATGTAATATGGATATTTTTGAAGTAACTATGACTGGTATAATTCGCCATCCGCGTTGAACTTAATTGAAATCCATTTCACCGCGTTCTCGCTTTCATGATGTATCAGCGAATATTACGAGCTTGCTCGTACGAGGGGCGGCATTAAATCTCATGGTAAAAATTAAATTTCGCCCAGTCAGTCATAGTAGAGATGTTGGCCGAAATTCGTCTTTGTTATTTCCGCGTCGACAGAAAATTAAGTCAGAACTGTCGACTGAGGAATGCGGTCATGTCACATTAGCGGGTGGATAAGATATGTTGCACATAGGCATGCGTTAAAGAGACTATCGCGAATAGCACTAAATATATTTTGCGAGCATATTTCGGTACACGCGTGGTCACTTGGTACAGTCTATCATTTTGATACAGAGGTGGCGTTTCGCTCCCTGAGAGATTAATGATTTGAAATTCGTTCCGAATAAATAAATTTTATTACGGTAGATGATATGTGTGAAAATTTATTTACCACTATTTTCGGATTGACCATTACGAGCAAAACAGACGTAGTAAAACATTGAACTTAAATCTTCTTGATTTAAGATAATTTAAAAATTATCGCAACGATTATTGAATGAAAATTTATATTTTCCTGTTTCGTAATAACTATTTTTGAATTTATATAATGGAGATGATAGAGACATTACTTTGCAATGAAATAAATGGTGATAATTTCATAAATTTCGAGGAGGAGCGTGCTAAATGTACGGAGGCACTCTCGAACCGCGTTCAAATTAGCGGATACCTCGCGAACCATCTGGTCAGCCGGAAAAGGAGATTAATTTAATTTGCATTTAATCAGCGTGCAATCTTTAGTATGAATATTCAAGGTATATTCCTCTCCACATGTTTCGCCAACTCAAGGTCGGCAAAAACATGGACTCACGATCTAACATTCATCATTCGTGTACTGCCGCTGTACTGTTCACTGTCATCCATTCGTCCATAATTTTTCATTAGCTTACGCGTGATTCCGACCGTGAGTAATAGATTATAAATTTATATTGCATGACGAGGAAACGCAATTTGAGACTAATTAAAAATGCGTGATTGCGCGCCATTTTTGCGCACGCATTTCTTTTTCATCATGGACGCACGATTTATAAAGTATTATATTCAGTTTTTGTATCGATATAATAAAGTCATTGTTATCGCTTGGAATATTGCAACGAAGTTGTAGAAGGGTTAGCGATGAAATAATAGTATGTGTTCAAAATGTAAAATACAGGATAGATGTCAATGCATGCGTGCAATTTTGTTGAATTTATCATCAATCGTCGAACACATTTTGTGCGAAAAAAATTTTGATGCGAAAAAATCTTGTTTAATTTTCACGAGCACAATGATAAATGCCACGTGTATTGTAGGCCACAATTTCTAGCATTCGATGCGAAAGAAAGAAAAAGCGACAGCACGTATATTGTAGTTGCTACAACTTACTCCAGAAAATCTGAGATTAAAAAAATCAAAAAAAGCGCGTGCAACTTTGTCGTTTCCTTCCGTACTGCTGGCTGGCTACGACTTCGGGAAAGCTCATCCTCTTAATGCCTCGTTAAATATTCACGAGGATCTCCGTTTAACCGTTGCGTTACCAAGAGTCACCGTGAGAGTCTCCGGCGAGTCAACTTCATCTGGCGGACTTTGTCCCTTGAGACGCCATTGCCGCGACCTTCAAGACAAAAGGACTCATTAAGATTTCCGCATTCAAAATTAGTGCGTCAAAATCATATGATTAAAACAGTCCTTTATTAATTTATCATCACAAACGTCGACTATGAGTAAAATCTGAAGATAAAAAGCGTTTATATTTTCGACATTTCTTTTTGCGTGATTAATTTTAGAAAATATTATGGAGTATAATTTAATTGGTAATTTCAAGCTTTTTTTAGACAAAACATTCAATTGGATATGTTAGAAAATCAATATAAAAATTAATTAATTAAAATACTAAATGCAAAATAAATTAATATAAAAAATTTATACAAAATTTTCAATCGATTTCAATCTTTTCGTGAATTTCACATCGCAAACTTACATTGGCAAAATAAAATCAATCTGACATAATCAGTAGAAAGTTTTGAAATCTTTGCATATAATATTTATTGAGCACTTTATTTTATACAATTTTACACACACACACACACACTCTCTCTTTCTCGCTGTGACTTTAGAATCACAGAGACATCAGACTCTTCTATATCTTCATCGATTTTCTAAAAAGCAATATTCTCGGAATAGGGTTCCTTGAAGTCATCAGTATTTTGATTGATCCAAACCGGTGCGAACTCCAGTGCGGAAATCAGCAAGGCCCACGGAACTGAATAACGTGTTAAATTCCGGCAAAGCGCTATCGTAAACCGAAGGCAGCGCGTTGACATATCCGTTAGACATCGGTACGTCATCGTATGATAGCAAATTAGGCCGAAAGTGTTCAATAGGAACACCATAATCGTTGTAATCGACGTAATCCCCGTTTCGTTTTACCGACATATCCCAAGGTCCGTAAAAACTGCGTGTCCCGATGTTCTGCCAGATGGTCCTGGATCCTGTATCATTATGAATCACTGTACGTGAAAGAATTTTTTTACATGCGAGAGACGGATAATTTTCTTTCACATTCATTCAAATGATAACTTTCCGAATATTAGAAAATATCTTTATTTTCTTGATAACTGCATAAGTATTACAATCTTTGAAAATCTCTGTGAAAAGTTAACATTCAGTTTTTCAAATATCTTTATATAATTTATAGCGTTTCAAAGTCTCTGATTCTCTTTAAGATATCGCTTTCAATACAATTTGATGTAAGAATTTGTGACTCACCTAATCTGAAATCCTTTATAGGTTTCGATGTCACTTCGATCGCTGCTATCAGAGCGAGAAGGAATCGAAAAAGATTCCGAAGTTGCATTGATAATTGATGCTCTATTACCTCTCAGTTTACGTCCGATTCTGGCTTTTAATACTCTCGCACGATCACTTATATATACTGTCGCAATGATCTCATGTAAGCAAATATTTAGCCGTGAATTTAGCAGGTGGTGATGTCCCTGCGGCAATTGTAGCTTTCCGCAGAAACTAATTATTGTTTATCCGCTTATTGAGATAATCTTCGTCAACCAACTAAGATAACGCGAATCCAAGACCAAGGATTTTGGAGTTTGCAAGTAGTATGATCATAGGAAGTGTTAAATATAATTATTGCTTTATTTGCACATATTTAATAACATATATAATAACAAAATATATTAAATATATTAAAATATATATATTAAATATTAAATAATTTTAAAATATATTTAATAACAAAAATTGCTCGAAAAATGAAACATGCTGTCATCTTTGTTTACATCTTTGTGATTTATTTCATATGAAGAAATAAATATTTTCTCATATAAAGAATTAAATAATTTATAATTATATTCTTACTTATATAAAATAATAAGAGAATAGTAAAAATAATAGAAAACTTAAAAAACAGATATAATTGTGTGTGTGTGTGTGTGTAAACTAAATAAACGATATATCTATAATAAATTATATTAAATAACAAATATTATAAATTGTATGTAAGGAATTTTTTTATGCTAGGACTTGCGTAAACATAAACTGAAATTCCTTTTTATATATTCAGGATGTTCTAATAGCTTTTCTTTCCTGCAACTTCTTTCAACGACCCCAGCCGGCCCTGTTAAAGTAAACAAATTTTCAGTTGAATTTTGTTTTTTATTATAATTTTTTTTATTTAAACATTTATTTTGTCTCCGTTTTAGAATTTATTAATTTTTGTATCATGTTAATGACATGCATTATGCGTTATGCACGCGGTTGTGATACGTGCTTATTTAAAGAAGTAAAATGAGAGACATAACATTTTGTAGAAAAATATTTTTATGTCGTATTTAATATTTTTCATGCTTTTATACACGCACATTGACAAGAATATATGTTTCTCTTTAAATAGTAAATTTTACAGAGGCAATGAGATTTTTTTCAGTAATAATCTTTATATATATTACAGCTCGTGTGTGTAGAAAAAACTGGACTGCTACGTCAATAGTTAATAAATCTCGAGATATTTCGAAATTCATGAATTTGATATTACATAAAATACTTTTAATCTTTTAAAATATAAAATATATAATAATAATATATTAAAAAAAAATATATATATATATATAATTAGTAATCAATTTATTTGATTAAAGTATAGAGCCCTGTAGAATATAATTTAATTTTAAAATTGTAAACATATACACATATATTATATGAAACTAATTTTATATAATAAAATTTTATAGTGATTGTACACAAAAATTCATGAAAATAAAAATTTTAATTTTACAAATCTTCAACTTACATACAAATTAATTATTAGTCTATAAATTAGTCTTAAAAGGTTTAAAGTGTGCTTTGCGTCAAATTTATGAATCTCGAAATGTGTGTTAGATTTATTAACTTCTATCATGATCGCGATCCAATTTCTCATTAAGTATAACGATTTATATAATTAATTTCAATTTTAATTTTTACCCGACATTAACGTAGGACATGGTAGATGATTTTCGATTCTCGTTTAGAACTGCACCTCCATTAACAATGTCGTCATCACTATCGTAGAAAGGTCTTCTGTACCAGAACAATGGAAATCCATAATATACCGTGTCTCTAGCATCTAATCCGTCTTGACCTTCTGTAAGGTGAAGAGATTATGACATTAATTATATATTTTTAGTCATGTTAAAATGGGCATCTTTTTTTCATTTAATTTTACTTCTGATATTATTTAATGCAATTATATTTAAATCACATAAAATCTATATCTTTATTCAGTCAAAAATTACTTTGAACAAAAAAGTTAAATTTTTAATTTTCGAGAAATGTAAGTTTTTTTTAATTAAAGTTATATAAATTTTGTATAAAGTCATGCTAATTTCTATAATTATAAAATTTCTTTTCGAAAAAGAATCTTGAGGATGTAGAATGCATTGTGCTATATGACTCTCATGGGGTCCTCGTGTAAAATCAGTAATTTTTGCAAATCAGATATGAAAATACAATTGGAGTTGCCATTTGAATAGAATTGATAATCGGATAACGATATAACTTGAAACGAACTAACTCACCATTGTCAAATTGAGGAAATGGTAAAGCGTTAACGAAGTTGAGCGCCGTGAAAACAATTGCGAGATACATTGCGAATCTCATTGTGCCGTGCAAGCGATGCGTCGTTTCACCGGACATAAATCGTACTTAATGGACGTCTCGAAGTTCGTCTGAATTACGCCGCGACACATCTTGCGTTCTTTATATACACATTTGTTCTACGCCTCGGTTCTTTCTATCGAATAACAAGCCAGGCGTTAATTCGAAGACGTGACTCGAATAATTTCGCTAACGAAGCCGGCAAACGAGAGCGTTCAGTCGCGACAACCGGACTCATCACTGTTTATTATTACGCATAAATCTAAATATTCCGAGAGGAATTTCGCACGGCTTTGTTGACGAAGCGACGATTGTGTCCCGATGACTTCATTCTTGACTCGAATATTTTTCCACACTTATCGATACGTATATCATAGCACTGTCAAAGCAGAATTTTTCCCATCACGATTTTTATTTGTCCGCAGTGGAATATACACGAAAACAACACTCTTCGGCGCAAATCGGAATTGAAACGCGCAATTGGAACTCATGCAAATTATGAATAACTTTTTTTTATCGTCGCTTATGTAATTTCCCGTGGGACTCGATTCCGCGGGAGTTGCACTGCACGAATAGAAATCGCTCGTGTGTATATGTGTGTTGAGTGCTTTTCGTTGTGTATTCGCGCGATCAGATGTCGAAAAGCTCGAAGCTTCCTATCGATCGCCCCCCCCTCCTGGAGGCGACGTCGCTCGTCGTATAGTTTAAAGTGCTCTGCCAGATGCGGAGACGGGGAGACCTTGCGATACTCTTGCAACAATCGCTGGATCGGATTTGCCAGACTTAACAAGAATACTGTCCGTGGCGTAGCAAACGTTTCGCCGAGTTTCCCTTCGCAAGCGCAGCGTCGCTCTTTGTACGTTTGGTTGACATGAAACTTTACTGCTCGCGTACCTAACCGTTGTATTCGCGAGCGAACCATTATAAGAGAGATTGTCTAACTTACGCTCGTTACCAAGCCGTAAAGCGGTTCCCGCTCGCGCTTCTGAGGCATAACGCTTATTCCTCTCGCAGGCTTAAGCGAAAGAGAATAAATGCATGATATCTCCGAGCGGATATCTCGGGGGAAACGATAAAAGATGGTTTATCGTTCCATTGAAAAGTGAGAATCGCCATTAGTCTTTGGCTTAATCCTGCTTTCGGTATGAGTGACAGTGTCAGTTAAGCGGTGATTATATGGTCTTTGCGTTAAGGAAAGATTAAGAAAGGACCTTAATCTCCTTGTACCGATATCGCTGACGTTTCTTATCTTTATCTCAATTTCTTTTTATATGACGTACTTTTTAAATAAAAAGCGATATCTCTCGGGGATTTACCGAGGGGATTTAGAAAATTAATGCTTAAAGAATAATTAAATATTTAATTTTGTGAAAGTGCGTATGTTTTGTGTAAATGTCATGTACCGCGAAATGGATTAAATCTGTGCAATTTAATTGTCATTAGTCTAAAGTCAAGAACGAAAAAGTAATTATTCTAATGTAACGCTTTATCACTGTCCGAAAAGGATTTCTGCTTTCTGTCACTTCTCTGATACGCGCTCCTAAATTTTGTAAGTCACTGTACACCTTCCTCACATATGCTAGCTCGTACAGTTATTGTGTGTTGTAACGATCACCTATAAACTTTTATCGTTTAGATAAAATATCGTTGTAGAGTGTCGCTCACGTGAAGTATTTCTGACAACGTATTCTTCAAAATTGCGATCTGCACTTGTTAATAATACATAAATATATAATATATATATGCGACTTCGATAAACTTGTTATCTATAGCACAAGTTTTAATCTTTTAGCAAATCCAATGACATATGGAAGCATCGATAATCTGCGGAATTATCGGCTTAAGAATAAACTTTGGCGAAAATGATTTAGATAACTTTGCTGAAAATGATATATAGAAGGAAGGCGTTCTTTTTGACAAATCTTTCTGTAACAAATTTAAGTTAAATTTTTCAGTAAAGAAAATAATTATTTTTCATGTTTTTCATTTATGTTTTAAAAAAAGTTTATATATATATAATAATAATAATAAATATAAGATAAATATAAATAAATATAAATAAATAAATATAAGATATATATATATATATCTTATATTTATTTATTTATTTATATATATATATATCTTATATTTATTATATTTATTTTATTAAAACATTTAATATATATAACATAATATATATATAATAAAGTCTTAAATATTAATTAAAGTCTTGAATATTGAAGTTCGATAAATTAACTTCTCTCTTTGTCTACCTTTGAATGATATATTTTAACATATTTTTTAATTAACATATTTTTTTAAATGGCGGATGTATTTAGTGATCGATTGAAAATTTTTTCAAGGCTATTTTCTCCGCCACTGAACTTGAGAAATGGCATCTCGGAATACTTCGAAAATCTTCTCCAGCTCATGAGCATAAAGAGAGGGGGATCTTTTCCTTCAGTGTTCATAGAAAAAAATACTCGCGTCATGAGATTCTCGATGGCGACCAAGGCGCTTGACGCTTCGTCGACCGATTATCGTTATTAGGTTACCGCTAACTAGTGCTTTGAAGTAAACCGAGCGGCCGTGTGTCTTCACTTCCTACAAAGAATGTCAAGGAATACTCTTATAAGCTTTCTTCCAACCATTGCGTCGCAAACAATGTAATGGTGGTATTAAGGACCCCGGTGTAATTGATAAGCGTTTATTTGAGCAAAGTGGACGGAAACAAATAATGCACGGTCACGTACCGTGAATGGACCAACGTTCATTGAATAGTTTAAGATCTCTTGATGCA